GTTACATTAAAAGCAAATAAAGGATATATTTCTCTATTGGTGTTTTATCTATTTTTTAAAGCCCCAAAGAGGTTCTTATAGTCGTTGGCATATATTATGCTGTTTAATAAACACTGCTGAAAACTGTTTACAAACTATTGCTATATGGCTGAAATACTGTTTACTAAACACAGCTATATGGCTGAATTACTGTCTACTAAACACTGCTATATGGCTGAAATACTGTTGACAAACTAATACTATATGGCTGAATATTGTTTACAAACTAATGTTTTATGGCTGAAATACTGTTTACAAACTAATGCTATATGGCTGAAATACTGTTTTACTGAACACTGCTATGTGACTGAAAACTGTTTACAAACTATTGCTATATGGCTGAAATACTGTCTACTTAACAGTGCTATATGACTGAAGTACTGTCCACTGAACGATGCTATATGGCTGAATATTGTTTACAAACTAATGCTATATTGCTGAAATGCTGTTTACTGAACACTACTATATGGCTGAAATACTGTTAACTGAGTACTGTTATATGGCTGAAGTACTGTCTACTAACCAATACTATATGGCTGAAATACTGTACTTAAAACTGCTATATGGCTAAATACTGTTCACAAAGGCTGAAATACTGTTAACTGAACCCTGCTATATGGCTGATGCTGTTTATTGAACACTGCTATGTGACTGAAATACTGTTTACAAACTATTGCTATATGGCTGAAAAACCGTTTATTGAACACTGTTTTATGAAGTACTGTTTACAAACTATTGCTATATGGCTAAAATATTTTCTTTTCACAATTGCACGGCTAATTTATTGTGTACTAAAAACTGCTTTGTGGCCAAAGTATTGTTTACTTAACATCGCTGTATGGCTGAAATACTGTTAACTTCGAATGCTGCTGTTTAGTTGTTATACTGTTTACAAAATATTGGTTCTTAAACAGCAATATAGTCGCGATAACACTGCAGTAAGTCTGAAATACTGTTTACACTCCCCCCAAAATGGTGATAATCGTGTACAAACTTTGGTAGGGCATAAGCCAGAGTCGCTTTGGTTCGAACACTGTTTGACAATGATTTATTTCATGTATGGAAGTTTTAGCTTTAAAGGAAAATTAGTAGATTTACTCGTACAGGCTTGTGCTTTTGCATGAATATTGCAACATTGCAAATCGATCATTGCTCCATCTCCCGCTTAAATGATTAAAATATTAAATAATTAAAATTAATCGATCACTAGTGAAAGAGTGTTTAAAACGTTTATAAATTATTTCAAAGAATAGAACATATCGTACATGAATATAATTGAGCCGTGTCATGACAAAACCAACATAATGGGTTTGCCAAGCCTGGATCCAGACCAGACCAGCATGCGCATCCGCGCAGTCTGATCAGGATCCATGCTGTTCGCTTACAGACTCTATAACAAGTAATGGAACTGATAGCAAACAGCATGGATCCTGATCAGACTGTGCGGATGCGCACGCTGGTCTGGATCCATGCTGTTCGCAAACCTATTATGTTGGTTTTGTCGTGGCGCGGCTCATATCATATCGTTCAACTGTCACACTATCCAGGTCACCATATACATGTATTTTACATGTATATAATGTTTTGAAAGCCAGGATTAACACGATTAGTCTTGTATTTTCATTAGGTCAGACACACAATTAAAATTAAGTATATCCATTGACCAGGTCAAAACTGTTATAAAAATATTAGGTTTCGATTTCGAGCATTTTTGAATTGTTAAATGTAATATCGATAAATCTGTAAACCGAAGTACTACCTTTGTATACAAATGCATTATCAATCATTGTTACAATTGGACAGTAAGATTAAACGTATTATCAATTAAAAAATCCACTAGACGACACATGGGGTTATTTCACAATTTATAATACCACTAAAAGATATCCGGTCAATGAATGTTACAATATTACTAAAAGCATGATATTAAACGAAATGAAAACAAAAATTCTGTGCTTGTTGACCTATCTGTTAAAGGAAACGAACTCCAATGACGTCCAAAAGCCCTAAAATATAAAACTTGAACTTCTTACATAAGATTAGCAGTGGCGCTTAACACAGAAAGATATATTTGCAAATGATTATTAATAAATATGCTTAGAAAAAAATTGAAAATTGAAAATCGTATTTTTTTGTGCTATTCTTAGCCTTATTTGAGTGAAAACGTTGCAACGTTTTTCAATTTTGGGTCAATTTTCACATTGAGAATAAATAGTCTGAAAAACAGATAAAGCAAAAGACACTGGTCTATACATACATGTACGTTAATTTGAACATTATTTTCTCGAAAAAATATTCCAGTCCCTTCATGTAAAAAAACCAACAAAAAACAAAAACAAACAAACAAGACAAAAAAGCGACCTCAGTGTAGGCCCTTTAATAGTTTAATCAAATTACTCGCTGTCTTGTTTGAATGTTGAATTTCCTGGCCTCACGGTTATAAAACTTATTTTAGTCTTGTCTTAAATCTCAGAATTTTCATTGGTTAGTGTAAATTCTGTGAAAGTTTCTAACCAATCAAATAACAGAGATCTGAGTTTTCATTGGTTATTGTACATTCTGTGAAAGTTTCTGACCAATCAAATAACAAAGATCTGAGTTTTCATTGGTTATTGTTCATTCTGTGAAAGTTTCTGACCAATCAAATAACAAAGATCTGAGTTTGAGCTCGGAGAATTTCTTTATAACCTCGAACCCTGGTCAAGTTGGTGAAAGGGCGCGTGTGAGGTAGCTTGCAACTGCCACTTCCGCCAATAAACTGGTGGACACAATCAAGCTTGCCGTTTAGGGGCGTTTTTTAAGGTTTCCGTATTTTCCACTTTCTTGAATCTTCAGCAAATTTTATATACACTGTACATGTTTGGTGAGTGAGATTAAAGAAAAATATTTTAGCCTTTTAGCCTTAGTGCTGTTGTAATTATAAACATAAAAAAACTCTGTAAGTACATCCACAGGATTCTGTTACTGTTTACATATATTTTTTTACATGTTAACACACATTTTTTAAGTGTTATGACATATCAAACAAAATGATCTTGATTTCAAATTAAAATTTATTTAAGGGAACATTTTTATTCAATAAATATTTGCAGTTCATTATAAGGACCCTTGATTTTCAGTATTATGTAAGCATAAAAGACGAAGATGCTTTTAACTGCATATCATATGAACTAATCTCTAAATCAAATCAAATCAAATAATCTCGAAACCAAATAGTATAGACCATATCAGAAAAGCTAAACAAATTAGAATAAAAAACGGCAGTTCAATAAACGCATTACCATTGTTTATATTGCGTATCGTATTTTATGAGGCTTAATATTTGACATTTGCACATAGATTAAGTAAATGTCATTACTATAATCAAATATTGAAAATTTAATAACTGAATAAGTCGCGCCATTCCATTGTTTTGTAAACAATCGGTAAGTACAGGGTATATATTTAGCCTTCTCTTATTTGCAAAATGATTATATCTATAAATCACGTTACACATTTAAATTCGGCAGGGTATTGTGCAATAGTCAGCAAATTCCACTGCAAAATTTATATCAAACAATAATACATTGCCCTTTATGTAATAGAACAAAGCATCGAAACACTAGACTATTAAGAGAGTGGTACGAGATACAAGAATTGAGGGCCCGCCTTATCAACGTTCGTACGCCTTTTTCATTTAAGTCAAAGAGAATGTCAGTCGGAACGTCCTCGGCTATTATTTATAATAACCTCGGAAGCAATGTTCGAACATACATTATCTTGATATACAGTTATATAACCAACATTTTTCGATTGATATGCTTCCTTTACCTTTTTATATAATATGCAAAGTTTTAATAAAATAAATAGACATTTTTTACGACGCCTATACGTCTACATGTATATATGAAATTTTAATTATGCATATTTAAACTTAATGTCTATTGAAAATGAAATATCAAAGTGAAACATGATTTTATTTTGTTATATTTGATTAAGTGGTACAGTTTAGATGGTATAAACATATCCACAATGACAACTGAATGTTCATGACTACCGCGTTTATGCTCCATTATATTTTCATTTTGAGATTATTGATAAGGCTGTCAGGTTTTCAATAATATCATAATTATATTCAGGATAACAAGAAACCAATTTTCTAACATGCTTTATGCGTTTTCCTTTATTTTTTTTTTAAAACATGGTCACGTGAATTAAGTGCATGAAATTGGCATCAAGCAAGTCGTTATAAAATTATGCATTATAAAAATCAAAGTCAAAACATAATGGTGGCTTGACATTCTGATGTAATAAAACGACACCATGCTTTGTGTTAAATCATTTGATTTAAGTTTCAATAATTTTGTAATTTAATATTATTACAGAATTTGTATTTCGATATTATCAGATATAAATAGCTCGACCTTTAGCTTATTGAAAAAAGAATTATTGATGATAAAAATGCACGAAATGGAACATTTCATTTGAAGTGCAAAATCAAGTACATGACAAATCGTGACGCCCGTTCACGAGCGCTGGTGTTTCATATTTATTTATCAATCTAATATTTCAACGGCCAATAATTTCCTGCATACCACAGTCGTTATGACAAAAATACTACTGCATTGAACTGGGAACAAGTGAATTTACATAGTAATATAACACTTTTTCATTTGTTCATTGTTCGCTTCATATTTTAAACCTGCCTTAAAAAGTCCAAAGCGATTCGTATTCACTCTGAAATTTAAAAAAAAAATCAAGTATCAAAATAAACTATTACTCTGGTAATCATATAGTCAATGTGATCCTAGTGACCATCCTCCATTACTCTGGTTACTTGATCCTATTGACCATCCTCCATTACTAAAGTTACTTGATCCTATTGACCATCCTCCATTACTTCGGTTACTTAATCCTATTGAGCATCCTCCCTTACTCTAGTTACTTGATCCTATTGACCATCCTCCATTACTCTGGTTACTTCATCCTATTGACCATTCTACATTACTCCGGTTACTTGATTCTATCGTCCATCCTCCATTACTCCGGTTACTTAATCCTATCGTCCATCCTCCATTACTCTGGTTACTTAATCCTATCGACCATTCTCCATTACTCTGGTTACTTAATCCTATCGACCATCATCCATTACTCCGGTTACTTCATCCTATCGACCATCCTCCTTAACTCCAGTTACTTCCATCATATTGACCCACTCCATTACTCCGGTTACTTGAATCCTATTGTCCATCCTCCATTACCTCCGGGTTATTTTCATCATATTGACCATCCACCATTACTCTGGTTACTTAATCCTATTGACCATCCTCAGTTACTCCGGTTATTTCATCATATCGACCATCATCCATTACTCCGGTTACTTGATCCTATTGACCATCCACCATTACTCCGGTTATTTCATCATATTGACCATCCTCCCTTACATCGGTTTCTTGATCCTATTGACCATCCCCAATTACTCCGGTTACTAAATCATATCGACAATCCTCCATTATTCCGGTTAATTTATCCTAATGACCATTCTCCATTTCTCTGGTTACTTAATCCTATTGACCATCCTCCATTACTCTGGTTACTTAATCCTATTGACCATCCTCCATTACTCCGGTTGTTTCATACTATTGACCATCCTCCATTACTCTGGTTACTTAATCCTATTGACCATTCTCTATTACTTTGGTTACTTAATCCTATTGACAATCCTCCATTACTCTGGTTACATAATCCTATCGACCATTCTCCATTACTCTGGTTACTTAATCCTATCGACCATCATCCATTACTCCGGTTACTTCATCTTATCGACAATCCTCCATTACTCCGGTTACTTGATCTTATTGACCATCCTCCATTACTCTAGTTACTTGAACCTATTGACCATCCTCCATTACTTCGGTTACTTAATCCTATTGAGCATCCCCAATTACTCCGGTTACTTAATCCTATCGACAATCCTCCATTATTCCGGTTAATCTATCCTAATGACCATTCTCCATTTCTCTGGTTACTTAATCCTATTGACCATCCTCCATAACTCTGGTTACTTAATCCTATTGACCATCCTCCATTACTCCGGTTAATTTATCCTAATGACCATTCTCTATTTCTCTGGTTACTTAATCCTATTGACCATCCTCCATTACTCTGGTTACTTAATCCTATTGACCATCCTCCATTACTCTGGTTACTTAATCCTATTGACCGTCCTCCATTTCCTATTGACCATCCTCCATTACTCTGGTTACTTAATCCTATTGACCATCCTCCATTACTCCGGTTACTTAATCCTATTGACCATCCTCCATTACTCCGGTTACTTCATCCTATTGACCATCCTCCATTACTCTGGTTACTTGATCCTATTGACCATCCTCCATTACTCTGGTTACTTAATCCTATTGACCATCCTCCATTACTCTGGTTACTTAATCCTATTGACCATCCTCCATTACTCCGGTTGTTTCATACTATTGACCATCCTCCATTTCTCTGGTTATTTAATCCTATTGACCATCCTCTATTACTCCGGTTGTTTCATACTATTGACCATCCTCCATTACTCTGGTTACTTAATCCTATTGACCATTCTCTATTACTTTGGTTACTTAATCCTATGGCCATCCTCCATTACTCTGGTTACATAATCCTATTTACCATCATCCATTACTCTTGTTACTTTATCCTATCGACCATCCTCCATTAAATCTGGTTACATAATCCTATTTACCATCATCCATTACTGCGGTTACTTCATCCTCATGATCATTTTCCATTACTCTGGTTAGTTCATGCTGGTGAGGGTAGCGGGGTAAAATGTGTTTTAAATCAAGACTTTAAACGCTTAACCTTGAGTTTTAAGTGGAAATGTCATTCTTTTAAACTAGACAATACCATTCATCTGTTTTAGGGAAGTTTCAATTATTCATGCTGATGAAATAAAATAATAAAATAGAATATTAATAGAGATTATTTAGCCTTTGTTATACCAGTACAGAGCCCGGCTTAAGGTCCCCGATCTGTTGGTTCGCAATTTTTGAATTTTTGTATTTTTACTTCTTTCTTGGATTATTGAAAAGGTTTTCAGATTTCAATAATTTTATTATATCATATATAGCTAATAATTCTATCTGTGACAAATTTTGTGTCCTTGATTATTAAGATAAAAACACCTGCATTTGCATAAAAAGAAATACCGGTATATTGACTATTCATATTGTTTAAAAGAAATGCACAAAAATGTTTTGCTTTGTAAAAAGTCAAAAACAAGTTCGTAGTTAATTTGATAATACTACAAAACATGACCCTCGTTAGCGCAATAAGCTCGTCGCTTTATAATAGCACAGACAGTAATAATGTCAAGGCCGTACTACTGTACCCGAGGGAATCCACGTGTAATATTTTTTTTTCGAAATGACTCATTTACCCGCTTTTAAATTTTAACAAAATCGGGCTCCACTGTTGATACAAACGACTTTAATTATTTCGATATTAAAATCACTTAAACTTTGAATAAAATAGTTGTTTCATAATCCTGGAGAAGGCCGAATCCATTACACTAATTTGGCAGGTTAAAGGTTAAACTGAAATCGTCTTATTAACACACCATTTTTGGAGCGATCTTCAATTTAAGATCTATGAATTGAAAGAAATTGATTTTTATATAAACATAAATCATGCTAAAACTGTATTTATAAACGAGATTTAACGAGGAATAAAAAGTGACCAATTTGTCAATCCAAAAAAACAACAAATAAGCTGCTTTCACGGCATGATTGACATAAGCTCTAAATAATTAACGCCCGCATTTATTAAGAAACAAGTAGTTTTAAACTGTAGTCGGATCGGCGGCTTTCATTGTTTTTACCTTGATTTTTTTTTCGGAGAAAAAAACGCGTAACTTTTGCTACATCATGTTGTCCGTTGTCGCTCCCGTCAAGGAACTTTAACAGGGTTATTATTTTTATTATTTCTTAAAACTTGGACACGACAATCCTTTGGACAAAAACCTTCCAAGTTGACCAAAACATACTTGACCTTCATTCATAAACGACATTGACCTTCAAGGTTGAATGTTTAAATTTAGCTTGATTTTTGCCTAAAATTAACAATAACTTTGTTATTCTTGTTACTCGTGAATAGATGGGCTTCATACTACGTTCAGGACAAGGATTTAAAGAAGATCAATTAAATTTAACTTTGACCGATAAATGATTTACACATTATAGTTAGTATTGTAATTTCACAGGTTTTCGCTTTAACTAGCCACAGCAATTCTCAATCGCAACTTTTCGGCCCTTTCCGTAAGTCTTCGGATAACAGATAGTAGCCGAGGACGTTTGAAAAATCCTCTTGACACTGACTTTAATTTGACCTTGACACTAAATGTCAGTTTTAATGAATTTTGCTGTAATATGCCATTCCATTGATTTTCATTTATTAATTTGATTTATACTTGCACAACAGAATTCTTATAACAAAATAGCATGCTAAGTGAAGATATGACCTTGACCTATAAACCCCATTGACCATAAATGTCAAATTATTGAAACTGAAGGCGGGGAAAGCATGTACATGTCACAGGGTGAGAAAAATGTGCAGCCTGACCGGGACTCGAACCCGGGACCTTCGGAATACCGTACTGCGGCTCTACCGACTGAGCTATCCGGCCGCTTACACATCTTCTCCCCTAAATAGTGAACAGTTCTGAACCGTGACATACTCCCCTGCTATATTGAAATTCGTCCTCGAATTTCACAGAGTTACAGAGCAATGTAAATTAAACTCTGAGCTATATCAGTCACGTCCCCCGTTGGGCGCCAAATGTCACAGGGTGAGAAAAATGTGCAGCCTGACCGGGACTCGAACCCGGGACCTTCGGAATACCGTACTGCGGCTCTACCGACTGAGCTATCCGGCCGCTTACACATCTTCTCCCCTAAATAGTGAACAGTTCTGAACCGTGACATACACCCCTGCTATATTGAAATTCGTCCTCGAATTTCACAGAGTTACAGAGCAATGTAAATTAAACTCTGAGCTATATCAGTCACGGCCCCACGTTGGGCGCCAATTGTCGCAGTCCAAAAGATATGCAGGTTTCTGATGGACGCTGTGGGTTAAAGTACTTGGGACCTGGACAGAGGGTCTGTAAATACACAAATTATGCGTTTTCAAATAATTTTACTAGCATTCAAAAATCGCGGCTCTCGCCATCAAAATCTTTCAAAATAGTGCGCATGCGTAGTGTAGTTAATCAATGAAGTAGAAAGTTAGATAGAGAGGCCCGTAATGGTGGTTAGTATATGATCAATATGGGGATGAATGAAAAGTATGATGAAAATTAAAGCTATAGGACATTTAATAGGACAAACAATAACACATATAAACATGTACCGTACTACGTATATGAACCTGTGACATACATATAATGGCTTCATCTGAGGTGTACATATTTTGACGACAGGGAAAGCGTTGCATGTTTTGACTATGACTAAACACAGAACTAAAAAAGCCAATCAAAACATTCGGCTATCTGATTTGTACAATGTTCTTCTATTACATATAACAATACTTGCAAACTACAACTGCAATTTGATAACCTGCAAATTCTAAATCTAAATTCTAATTCGGGTAAAAACGAGGGAGCAGCAATTCATATTCTCATAACATCTATTTAGTTGTAGGTAAAAACAGTATTTGAAGCCGGACAGCGACATCATTGATCAGCAGGGTAAAAAAAGCACACAGTAACTTGAAAAAATCTCGCACACAACACCATCTTGATTTCGAGCACCGTTTCGGCTCTTCTTTTGCCCATACTCACTTTATTATCCCCACACACACTGACCCTGCACTTGTTAACTATTTTTCTCTCAAACACCTTTAAAAAATTAAACTACCTTCTATAATACCTACATTATTACCTAACGGAGTGTAATTTAGCGTGCTATAACTTCGAAAAGACTATAAAGTTGTATTTCCCGCGTATTACAAATTGTAAATACAACAAAAAACATATTTTAGACAATTTATAAGTGAAATGTGCAAATAAGCGATAGCACGGTACAAATTATCGTAAGAGAAAATCAAATCAAATAACAGAGAAATGAAAAGCAATAGAAACAAGTTGGTTGGATTAAGTGTGAGAACGTACTGTCTCATTATTAGAAGGAAATACGGTCCAGTGATAGTTTGTTTTGGATTTTTGAGCATGTGGTTCCTCCTCTACAGACATGTATTTCAGGGAAATCAAGGTAGGCATTAAAAGTCATGTTATCTTATTACTTTATTACAATTTTTTGCTGGTAATACACTAGTTTTAATGATAATCACTAGTTTAAGTAAACCATAAACCGCCTCCGTGGTCGAGGGGTTAGAGTCGACGGCTTCTAACCCAGTTACCTATCTGGCGTGGGTTCAATCCCCGGGAGTTGCTTTTGGTAGTCTAGCGCGGTAGAAGGTAGTCTAGTACTGGTGTAACTCTCCAGGAACGATGGTTTGGAAACTACCCGCCTATATGACTGAAATACTGTTGGGAAAAGGCGTAAATGAAACTAACAAACAAACAAACAAGTAAACAATAACATTAGCTTTGTTAACCCTTATCCTACATAAACTGAAAGTGATAAGCTGTGGCCACAGCTATAGAGCCAGGTCAGTCCGAACATATTCTTTACTGCTGCTTGACCAGATTTAGACTTTTTTTTACATTTTGATATCCCTAAAATTGAAAATGGACAGTTCCAAAAATAATAGCTTGACGGATCCATTTCATAAATTCAGCGGAATGAGTGACAATAATTAAAACTTTCAGTGCGGGAATTCAAAATAAAGAATATTTTAACGTAACAAAATTTAATTCAGAGTGTGGTCATGATATGTTAAAATTTGCACGTATATCATAGATAAAAAATAATTTGAAATTTATGCCCCACATTAACCAAACATTGATTAAAAAAATATTTTGAATAAATGACCAACATTAACCAAAAATGTATCTCATCGATTTAGAAAAAATAATCTAAAATTAAATGACCGGATTAACCAAACATGTATACCATTGATTAAAAAAAATATTTTGAATAAATGACTGACATTAACCTAAAATGTATTGCATCGATTAAAAAAAATCTAAATTTAAATGACCAACATTAACCGGTCATGTATATAATTTGATTAAAAAGATTATTTGAAATATCAAATGATCGATAAAAACTGATTGATTTTATTGTTTTAAGTTGCCTGACTTCTATGACGTATATAGACAATTTATTTCAATCCAATTAATGAGTAGGTCCTAGACATGGCATGTAAATTATATAATGAGCTAGATATTGACTAGATATAGATTTTTTTCTACAGTACTTTTATACTTTTACAATTGACAATTCTAAAGAACCATTTAAATATCTGATAATCAATTTTCCAAATATTACGTTTTTAGAGAGAGAAAAAAAAACGCAAATTACAAATAAACAAACAAACAAACGAACAAATAAAACCGTTTACACAGTTTGTCAGTATATCTATACCAATAAAACGACAGAACATATACAACATTGTAAAAGTATATGTATTAATAAAAAAGCTTTATCAGAATTTAACTAAGTGATTCTGATAAAGCTTTACGTGGTCTTTGATTATTTCCATGTGACCCTATTATATTTTTTTTTTTGATAAGATAAACAAAATTATAAGATTTTTTTTAAGATTCATTTCATTTCTTTGAAAACATTCAATTATTTTTTTTTTGCATTTCATTTTATAACACTTTTTACTAGCCAAGGGAGTGAATTCATTAATATTTGATGATTTTGTCCGACAAAGTGACCTTAGCTTTAATTTATTTAAAAACGAATATAATATAATCATAATAAAGGTGTAGCTGTATTCGTTTTTTCCATCGATACTTGGTGTTTATTTTATCATCATTATTATTATTATTATTTTTATTATTATTATTATTATTATTATTATTATTATTATTATCTCTTTTTCTTCAAAATATGACATCTAAACTTACAAACACATTACATATATATGTATATATATTCATTCATTTTTTTAATGAAATTATTTATATTAAAGTTTCAGTGCCCGACTGGGTTAAGACAGAAGATTATCCACCGTTTGAACCGGATGTGCACGAGGACTTTCCAACCGGTCCGGAGTTTGAGCCTCGAATTCCTCATATACTTCATCAAGCCTACGTCGACAATTACATACCAACAACATTTGCTTCAAACATCAATAATTTCCTTGAAAGAAATTCCGACTGGAAATATTTCTTATGGACAGAGCAATCATCCCGGAAGTTGATTATAAAAAAGTATCCCTCTCTGCTGGGTTCATTGACCTTGCAGATGAATTTTAAAGACCAAACTGAAATCCTTCGTTACGTTGTGCTCCATGAGTTTGGAGGCGTTTATGCTGAAATGCCTTTACAATGGTTACGGCCACTTCGTAAAATAACTTTCAAATATGCTTGTGTGATTACAACGTTACCTTTTGAAAGAGCATCTTTAGGGTACAAGAAACCTTACTTGTTGAATAATGAGTTGATATTTTGTAGAGCAAAACATCCGTTTTTAAAACAAATTATCGATAGATTACCATTGTACCAGCCAATGCTGGAAAATGAAGACTTTACTGGACCACATTTTGTGACAAGCCAGTTAATGATATATAATAAACAGAAATATTACAAACAACTATTTAGTTACACTAATTCTTCATATTTCTTTGCAAGCAAACTTCTCGATGCACACGAAGATACAGTGTTTGTTCCGAATTCTAATTACTTTTCTTTTAACTTAGAATCACTGTATGTTTTTTGCGATGATTTCATAAATCTTTCATTCATAGAGAAGAGAGGGTGTGTCGAACTGCAGAGAGGGCGTGGCTTTAATAAATTTGCATTTACTTATAATCGAGGGAAAAGACCAAGATACGAGTCAATTCTTAACTTCTTGTTTAGGGTTGAAATATCACATATAGCTGGTGAACACTTAATTATATATTGATGTTAAAAACGATTAAAACAGTTACAATTAAACATGTCATAAATACCCCTGTGTTGGTTTATAAATTTTATTCATTTAAATAAAAAAAATGTTTTAAAAATCAACGAATCAAAGTCATTAAATTATTGTCACATACTCACCTGTCAGAAAAAAGTTAACAAAATAAATTATTTTTTATTTATTTATTTATTTGTTTATTTCATTTCGTGTTTTTGTATTCTATTTTATATATTTATTTTTATTTTTTTATCTATTTTATTTATTTATTTACTTATTTGATATAATGTTATTTAATTTAGTTTAATTAATTAATTATTTTTTAAAGGGGTTATTTAAAGTTTTAAAGGGGCTCCACTGAGGTTTGTGTTTGACCTGAATTGATTTTTTTTTAGATTTGTGTACCATTTGACGTATATCTCGACCAATAACTTGTGAGCGAGGGAGCAAGCTTCCGGACCATTCCCTCAAACCGCGTGGTTTCAAACCCTTCAGGGGCTAGCCGTTGTTTCCTTGAGCAAGAAACTGTACATACATTGCTAAGTACTGGTTGGTTCCATGAACGGATTCGAGGGTGTTTCAATAAGCTTATAGTCTAAAGAAATCTAACTGAAACAAGATATGTTTGTAAAACATGTATGCCCCCTATCAGCAGTCAATTAGTCATGTGATAAGGTTATTATGCATGACTTCTGACCCTGAGTGAGAAAACAATTAATAAGGGTTTATCAAGTATCTACTGGTCATGACCTTAACCTTTGACCCCTTGACCCAAAACTCAATAGGGGTCATCTGCTGGTCACGACCAATCATCATACAAAGTTTGAAGTTCCTAGGCCAAAGTGTTTTTAGTTAATTGATCAGAAACCGTTTTTACCTACAAGGTCAATGTGACCTTGACCTTTGACCCCTTGACCCGAAAATCAATAGGTCATCTGCTGGTCATGACCAATCACCATACCAAGTTTGAAGTTCCTAGGCCTAAGGGTTCTTTAGTTATTGATCGGAAACCGTTTTAACAGACAAGGTCAGTGTGACCTTGACCTTTGACCCCAAAATCAATAGGGGTCATCTGCTGCTCATGACCAATCACCATGCCAAGTTTGAAGTTCCTAGGCCGAAGCGTTCTTTAGTTATTGATCAGAAACCGTTTTTCCTTACAATGTCAATGTGACCTTGACCTTTGACCCATTGATACCAAAATCAATAATGGTAATCTGCTGGTCATGACAAATCACCATACCAAGTTTAAAGTTCCTAGGCCTAAGCATTCTTAAGTTATTGATCAGAAACCGTTTTTACTTACAAGGTCAATGTGACCTTGACCTTTGACCCCTTGACCCCAAAATCAATAGGGGTCATCTGCTGGTCACGACCAATCATCATACAAAGTTTGAAGTTCCTAGGCCTAAGGGTTTTTAGTTAATTGATCGGAAACCGTTTTTACATACAAGGTCAATGTGACCTTGACCTTTGACCCCTTGACCCCAAAATCAATAGGGGTCATCTACTGATCATGACCAATCACCATATCAAGTTTGAAGTTCCTATGCCTAAGGGTTCTTTCATTATTGATCGGAAACCATTTAACCTACAAGGTCAATGTGACCTTGACCTTTGACCCCTTGACCCCAAAATCAATAAGGGTCATCTACTGATCATGACCAATCACCATACCAAGTTTGAAGTTCCTAGGCCTAAGGGTTCTTTAGTTATTGATCGGAAACTGTTTTCGCTTTCAAGGTCAATGTGACCTTGACCTTTAACCCCTTGATCCCAAAATCAATAGGGGTCATCTACTGATCATGACCAATCACCATACCAAGTTTAAAGTTCCTAGGCCTAAGGGTTCTTTAGTTATTGATTGGAAACCGTTTTCGCTTACAAGATCAATGTGACCTTGACCTTTGACCCCTTGATCCCAAAATCAATAGGGGTTATCTACTGATCATGACCAATCACCATACCAAGTTTGAAGAAGTTCCTAGGCCTAAGGGTTCTTTAGTTATTGATCGGAAACCGTTTTTGCTTACAAGGTCAATGTGACCTTGACCTTTGACCCCTTGACCCCAAAATCAATAGGGGTCATCTACTGATCATGACCAATCACCATACCAAGTTTGAAGTTCCTAGGCCTAAGGGTTCTTTAGTTATTGATCGGAAACCGTTTTTGCTTACAAGGTCAATGTGACCTTGACCTTTGAACCCTTGACCCCAAAATCAATAGGGGTCATCTACTGATCATGACCAATCACCATTCCAAGTTTGAAGTTCCTAGGCTTAAGGGTTCTTTAGTTATTGATCGGAAACCGTTTTTGCTTACAAGGTCAATGTGACCTTGACCTTTGACCCCAAAATCAATAGGGGTCATCTACTGGTCATGACCAATCACCATACCAAGTTTGAAGTTCCTAGGCCTAAGGGTTCTTTAGTTATCACTCGGAAACCATTTGGTCTACGGACCGACGGACCGACAAGTGCAAAGCAATATACCCCCTTTTCTTCAAAATGGGGGCATAATAAATTATTGAGAAGAATCGTTTTTATTTTCTAAGATGACTAAATTGAAAAGCGTTGTAATACTTCAACTCAAATCGGACTGAGAATCGGACACAAATTTAATTATGAGTATATTTCTTCATTATCCTATGTTTTTTTTCATTTCAAGTGTTCTACTTCATCTATGCTTTAATCTCCCTGACCTCAGTGGAGCTTCTTTAATATAAAGTTATCTGAAACAATAACTTCCTTAGATATGAAGTTATCTGAAACAATAACTTCCTTAGATCATGTAGATATACAGTTATCTGAGATATTAACCTCCTTAGATATACAGTTATCTTAGATAATATCCTTCTTAGATATACAGTTATCTGAGATATTAACCTCCTTAGATATACAGTTATCTGAGATATTAACCTCCTTAGATATACAGTTATCTGAGATATTTACCTCCTTAGATATACAGTTATCTGAAACAATTGCCTCCTTAGATATACAGTTATCTGAAAAAATAACCTCCTAAGATATACAGTTATCTGAAACAATAACCTCCTTAGATATACAGTTATCTGACATATTAACTTCCTTAGATATACAGTTATCTGAAACAATAACCTCCTTAGATCTACAGTTGTCTGAGATATTAACCTTTTTAGATATACAGTTATCTGAGATGATAACCTCCTTAGATATACAGTTTACTGAAACAATAACCTCCTTAGATATAATGTTATCTAAAACAAAAACTTCTTTAGATATACAGTATACAGTTTTCTGAAACAATAACCTCCTTAGATATACAGTTATCTGAAACAATAACCTCCTTAGATATACAGATATCTGAGGTATTAACTCCTTAGATATAATGTTATCTGAAACAATAACCTCATAAGATATACATTTTCCTGAAACAATAACCTCCTTACATATACAGTTATCTGAAACAATAACCTCCTAAGATAAACAGTTATCTGAAACAATAACCTCCTTAGATATACAGTTATCTGAAACAATAACCTCCTTAGATATACAGTTATCTGAGATATTAACCTCCTAAGATATACAGTTATCTGAAACAATAACCTCCTAAGATAAACAGTTATCTGAAACAATAACCTCCTTAGATATACAGTTATCTGAAACAATAACTTCCTTAGATATACAGTTATCTGATATATTAACCTCCTAAGATATACAGTTATCTGAGATATAAACCTCCTAAGATATACAGTTATCTGAAACAATAACCTCCTTAGATATACAGTTATCTAAAACAATAACCTCCTTAGATATACAGTTATCTGAGATATTAACTTCCTAAGATATACATTTATCTGAAACAATAACCTCCTTAGATATACAGTTATCTGAGATATAAACCTCCTTAGATATACAGTTATCTGAAACAATAACCTCCTTAGATATACAGTTATCTGAGATATTAACCTCATAAGATATACAGTTATCTGAAACAATATCCTCCTTACATACACAGTTATCTGAGATATTAACCTACCAAGATATACAGTTATCTGAAACAATAACCTCCTTAGATAAACAGTTATCTGAGATATTAACCTCCTTAGATATACAGTTATCTGAAACAATAACTTCCTTAGATATACAGTTATCTGAAACAATAACCTCCTTAGATATACAGTTATCTGAAACAATAACCTCCTTAGATATACAGTTATCTGAAACAATAACTTCCTTAGATCTACAGTTATCTGAAACAATAACCTCCTTAGATATACAGTTATCTTAAACAATAACCTCCTTAGATATACAGTTATCTGAGATATTAACTTCCTAAGATATACATTTATCTGAAACAATAACCTCCTTAGATATACAGTTATCTGAGATATAAACCTCCTTAGATATACAGTTATCTGAAACAATAACCTCCTTAGATATACAGTTATCTGAGATATTAACCTCATAAGATATACAGTTATCTGAAACAATATCCTCCTTACATACACAGTTATCTGAGATATTAACCTACCAAGATATACAGTTATCTGAAACAATAACCTCCTTAGATAAACAGTTATCTGAGATATTAACCTCCTTAGATATACAGTTATCTGAAACAATAACCTCCTTAGATATACAGTTATCTGAAACAATAACCTCCTTAGATATACAGTTATCTGAAACAATAACTTCCTTAGATATACAGTTATCTGAAACAATAGCCTCCTTAGATATACAGTTATCTGACACAATAACTTCCTTAGATATACAGTTATCTGAAACAATAACCTCCTTAGATATACAGTTATCTGAAACAATAACCTCCTTAGATATACAGTTATCTGAGATGATAACCTCCTTAGATATACAGTTATCTGAAATATTAACCTCCATAGATATACAGTTATCTGAAACAAAAACCTCCTTACATATACAGTTATCTGAAACAATAACCTCCTTAGATATACAGTTATCTGAGATATTAACCTCCTAAGATATACAGTTATCTGAAACAAAAACCTCCTTAGATATACAGTTATCTGAAACAAAAACCTCCTTAGATATACAGT